TGTGGATAGGGGTGGGGAACAGGGGGGTTGAATGCGGGGCGGGGGTTCCGAGGGCAGTCAGGGAGAAGGGTTGGTTGGATGGGGGGGCAGTCAGGGGCAGGAGTTCCGGGGGCGGTCAGGGACAGGGCGAAGGGGTGGTTGGATGGGGCAACAGGGGGCAGTTAGGGACAGGGGTCTGGGGTCGGTCAGGGGACAGACAGCAGGGAGGGTGGATGGGGCAGGGGGGCATCAGGTGACGAGAAGCAGGGGGGGTCAGATAAGGGGCGGGGGCCAGGCCACGCCTGGCTGTTTGAGGAGGCACAGCCTCCCCTAATGGGCCCTCCATACAATTTCTGAAACCAGATGCGGCCCTCAGGCCAAAAAGTTTGCCCGCCCCTGTTCTAGACTGAGCACTGAGTCCCATTGGGTAGATAGAAAGATTAACCTAAATAATTTATACAGAAGCCCCTGGAACCCCATAAGATTGAGTCCCTAATCCATGAACTATTGGAACTCATTTACAAAACTTTTCTTAAACATTACATGAATATATTGTCTCATACTATAGAATTAGAATTTATAATCCCTATTCCATGATGAGATATCTTTGAGCTATAATGTATCTTAGTTTTTTCCTCAAAAAGCATTTCATAAAAAAAAAATCTGATTTAAATAAAAAATCCAATTTTTACAATTTTTTTTTAAAAAATCATTGATTTTTATCCACCCTGCTAGACAGCCATGTTCAGAGTAGGGGTAATCACTGAATTAGTCAAGCAGAACAGGTGCAACTGTGGGGATCCAAATGGCCAGCTAAACAAAGACACTACTAACTTTACTACTGTTTATTTAATAGGATCCCCAAGGCCCTCTTAGGCCTGCATTGTGTGGGGTATCTGATAACACAGTTGCAAGCTGCCCATTCATCCTCTGCATGGCAGCCCATTTCTGGTGAGGACCAATTTTGCTACTCTATGAAGAGACCCACCTGTAAACCGTAATGAAACCCTCTGCTATTTCTGAGTGTAATCCTTGTGAGCCCTTGGGGGTGAACAGCGGGGCTTAATGCACTGGCTTCAGGCAGAATATACAGAGCACATTTGATATCCATGATCTATTGTTCTTTTTCAACAGGTAAAATTAATGACTGAATGGTTCTGCAAATATATTGAAACACTAGACAGCAGAACGCTCTAAAATGCATAAGCTTGTTGTACAGAAGTTTTAATAGATTATACTCCTCTAGTGTAATGCAGGTTTACTCCTTTATTGATGGCTAAAAAGGTTTTAGTGCATTTGTGTGCGCATTTTGGTTTGAGGAAGTTTATGTTTTGATATTTATTCTCTTACTAGGCCAGCATCTTGTATGGATTTCATAATGGCCTCCCCAGCAAGGCTCAGTTGACTAGTTTTGATCTAGGCAATACATCTCTTCCTATAGTAAACTTCCTCCCCTGACACTTCCAGGAAAGGGTTCAGTATGATATCTGAGAGCTTTAGTAATGGACCTGTCAACTATCAGATTCCCATTGTGTTGTTACCAAGCCATTTTTTAAAAGGTATACTTGTGTTAGTTTCACAGACTGGCTTCCCATTTAAAATTAGTTCTTACCGTGCAACTACCACCATTCCTACAGGGGTTGCTGTCACACTCGCTGATTTCATGTTCACAGTCAACACCAGTGAAACCAGGTTTGCATGAACATGTGTAACTGCCTTGGCCAGTGTTCAGACAAGTGGCTCCATTTTTGCATGGTTTGTGGTGGGTGCAGTAGTTGAGATCTGCAAAGACAAATGTTAGAGATTTTGACAACCTAATAGAACCCACTCATTTGTCAAAATATGACAGCACAAAACGTGAAAACAAACATTTTAGACAGCAAAAAAAAATAGAGTTTCAGCTAAGAGGGTTTTCATTTTGTCGTCAGCAGAATGAATACAGATTATTTAACTCTCCAAATCACCAATAAATCTGTTATTTCTCCCATCACAGTATATCTAAGCTCCAAAATGTGGAAGACCTGGCAAACCTTTAACTGTATAAGTGCCTTAAGTATACTCTCCCCTGTGTGTGTGTGTATAAACCCATTAGCCTTAATGGGATTTAGATGTGCACTTATCAAGTTGAAAAGTGTACATCCTGTGAAAGACAACACATGCCTTGACAAACTTAACAATAAGCCTTGCCTTATTCACACTTAAGAAACCTAACCGTATCACAACCATCTCCGCAGCTATTTACATTGTTTCACAACCGTAGTTTATGATCTCAGTTTCAACAATATAACTATGGCCTTGAGGATACATTCAGTTGGCTAAAGTTCAGAGATTCAATGGATGAGCTAGTAAAGTGGTCTGGTATCCCTTAAAACAGAACCTCTGCTTTTCAAGCTTGCTCTATGAGTTTTCTCACACACACTCCAGACTCATGACGAGTTTACTTCCTCGTGTGTAGAAATAAGGAAGGCTCAAATGGCGGTGTTTACTTCTGTTGGAGTTAGTAAACTGCTTTATTTCTACTAATAAATAGCTGAACTTACACTTCTTGTTTGAACAAGCAAAAAGACTGCATATTCAGCATTTCAACCAGTTTTTAAAGAAAAAGCCAAAATTAAAAAAAAAGTTAATTTATGTTTTCATGTATACTATTAATAAAGTATGAGAGTTAGTATGAGAGAGACTTTCAACAAATTGTTGCCTATTGACATTTCACTGGAAGAGATTTAGTCCAGATGCTCTGGGTTAGGGCTCATCTACACAAACAATTAGTTCAAGGCAAGCTAGGAGGTGAATCTATCCTGCACTAACTAACCTGCTTGGAGTAACTGTCCATATGCACCCTGCTGAGGCACATTAACAATTGGTTAGAGCACTCTAATTTTTTCAAGGATTAGAGCAGTCTGCAAGGAGGCTAGTGGGGGCAGAGGGGTAGATTAACACCCCAGCTTGCAGCGAATTAAATGTTTGTGTAGACAAGCCTTTACATTTCTTAGCTCAGTACCATGAAATACACAAACTAACCTTGGTCACAGAAGAGGCCACCCCAGCCTTCATCACATATGCACTGCCACTGTGTTTTACAAGTCCCATGGCGGCAGCCTATATGAGGAATGCACTCATCACAATAACGGCCTTGCCAGCCAGGACGACAGCTAGAAAAAAAAATAATTTAAATGTTAATTACTATAAAAGGTTAAAGTTGCTGTCAAGTTCAGGTTGAGATCATCATCTACTCACATGCACTCTCCTGGCTTGTTGCAATATCCATTTTGCTCAGTACAACCAGACAGACAGATGGCTATAACAAAAAAAAACACAACAGAAAGATGTAAATACATCTGGCAATATAGTTTACACTTTTAAAAAAATAAAAATTGCTTTTTAATAAATATATTGAAACCTACAACACACTTTAAAGCTTTCATTTAAAAATTCAGATCACAGGCATCTTTGGAGCAGAAAGAAGTGAACCAGAGAAAGCCAGCATTTGCTGTGAACAGAGGTGTCCTTTAGTTTTTCTGTTTACACAACAAACATGGCCTCCTGCTTCTTTAAAGCTTGAGGAAAAAAACCAAGAAGAGGTGGCCCTGTCCTCTCACTATTGCATCTCCTCTGGGGGTAGCAGTGGTGAAAGAATGAGCACAGGCAAGCTGCTGTCATTTCAACTCACAATATAGATGCCACAGTGGTTAAAACGTTG